ACTGTTCTAACTAAACATCTGGAGCTTTTAGACTAGTATTTCTCAAACTTGGCAAATACGAGGTGTGTAAACTTCAACTCTCAGAATTCTCCAGTTAATGAATCATAGGGAAGCTGTTTTGAGAGAAGTAACACGTAAGTTCTTCCTTCGATGTGGCGAAACACTTACGGTATTCCTGCATGTTGAGTTCTTTAACGGCATGGATGTCGCTCAGCTGAGCAATTCGAGCCTGAACCTTTGTTCGTCCCTCCTGGCGAGTCATGTCAATTTTCTCAATCATCTGTTGATGACGATCAATCCAGTAAAGCCATTTTTCAAATACGGTCAGGCCTATAGGCTGCAGTATGTTGGAGTCTTCTAGGACTATCCGATTCGCACCTTTGAAATGGGGGAGAAAAAAGGGAAAACTGAACTACAACAAAATGTTTGTAACTTCACATATGTTGTGACTGTGTCTTAACGTGAGATGCCTAAGCCACAATGCTGAATGAGCTCAATAAAATGCACAACAGCTGCAAACAGATTTCAAACGCTCCAAGTTTATGTTTGGAAATAAAAGGTTACAAAAGAATTGCCTCCTCCTCTAACAACGCAACGCCTATGGAGCTGATTGCCAGAAGTTTCAACATAAAGACAATATAATTTGCATAAGAGATATTAAATTGATGGGACATCCAGTCGCAAGATGCAATGCATACCTTCCATCACTTTAACAGTGGATCACCCAGATCCAGTCCAACCACAATATCAATATCAGCAACCAATAAAAGTTCCTGATATAAGTTGATTAGTATGCATTTTAAGGGAAAGTGAAAGATAAGTATATTTAACATGTATCTAAAATTGATCTGAATGGAACCACACCTGTTTTGAGATATGATAACATCCCACACGCATGTGTGTGTGTGTGTGTAATCTTTCTAGCAATGCCTATCAGTCTGATGGAGAAAAAAGTGGATGTTGCAAGGCTGAGCCCAAATTTCATATGGGAAGAGACAAACCCGACTTCCAGGAAATACGGTTTCAGAACATTACAAATCACAATGTTATCAACGGAGCTTAACATTACGATCTAAAAAAACTGAAACAGGTAAAGGCTGCATGCTGCAGAAAAGCGGAAACGCTGAAGTGTCCTAGCCAGGCCATTACGAGAATACATGGGAAGAAAGGCCTGCTTTCTCCGGGTATCTCACCTGCTAATCCGAGGAAGATATTCTTGCTCCTATCAACACCTGTTCTTCCACAGAGTGAGTCCAAAAGACCCTCCTCCAAATTCCAGGGATTATTTTATTCTATAGCAGGGGTGTCAAACTGGATTACTTTGAGGGCTGGATTAGCATCCTTCACAGGCTGGCCGGGGAGGGGTTTGGGGAGCACACACGGGACAGACGCCTCCTGCAGCACCCGGCCGGCCAAAAATGAGGCACGTGGAGGGGGGCCTGTGAGGCCCCCTACACCCCGTTCTTTGTCCTGGGCAGCCTCCTACAGCACCCTACCACCCAAAATGGGGGAGGAAGGGGCTGTGTGTGGCCCCCCCACACCCCATTTTCGGCCTGGACAGCCTTCTGAAACACCCTGCTAGTCAAAACAAGGCACAGAGGGATTGTGTGAGGCCCCCAACACCCTGTTTTTGGCTTGGACGGCTTCCTGCAGCACCCTGTCGGCCAAACAGGGCACGGAGGGGCTGTGTGAAGCTACACGGACCCTGTTTTTCAGCCTGGATGGCCTCCTGCAGCACTCTGTCGGCCAAAACAGGGCACGGAGGGGGCGTGTGAGGCCTCCTGCACCCCGTTTTCAGCCTGGACAGTCTCCTGCAGCACCGTGCCGGCCAAAACAGAGCACGGGAGAGCCTCATGCAAGGCCTCCGTGCCCCATTTTGGCTGCGAGAGGCACCGTGGGCCAGTCCTTTGCTATTTCCAGGCCAGCCCCATGGGCCAGATTAAAGCACTCTGCAGGCCGGATCCAGCCCTTAGGCCTGGAGCTTTACATCCCTGTTCTATAGTATCTTCTATTCTGTGTAGAATTGGGGGCCTTTGAAGAATCACTGGGGTCACACCTAACTAAGAGGTTTGTATTGGTTTGTAATTCTGACTCATCCCATTGAAAAGGAGATCCCAACTTCCTTGACAGGGATTGGTGAAAGTGGGAGGGTTTTATTTTTTAACAGAAAACCAATGGTTCCAGGTTTCCCACCAATAGAGCTATAACGTTCTCTAAATCTCATCCAGCCAAACCGCAAGAAGTAATTTTCTAACCACAGAATAAGTCTTCCAGAAACCCCAATTACGACTCACAAATGTGGTCTATCGTACAGGAAAAAAGAGGCTTAGTAAAAATGCTCTTGAGGTTTAACGTACAGTAAATCACTATCTGTAAGGAAAGTAAAAGTGGGAATAAGGTAGTCCCTGACTTACAACAGTTCAGTTAGTGGCCATTCAAAGTTACAATGGCACTGAAAAAAGTGACTTATGACCATTTTTCACACTTACAACCTTTGTAGCAGTGGTGGGTTATGACCGGTACGCCCCCGGTATGGGCGTACCGGTGCCTGCCGGGAGTGCCGGGTACTGTTCTGGTACGGTGCTCCGGAGGGCCCACCCGCTTGCCCGCACTCCTTACTGGTATTTGAGCTCTTCGGGGCTAACATGCACGGAGCATACGGCACCTGCGCGATACTCCGCCAAGCTGCTGGAGTGTCGCGGAGGCGTCGCAGGAGGTAAGGATGCATGCACGCGCTGTGCGCATGCACTGCACGCATTCATGTGGAGGATGCTGGGCCCCATTGCATTGTGCCAGTTGCAACAGGACCCGGAACCCACCACTGCTTTGTAGAATCCCCGTGATCCTGTGAACAAAATTCAGATGCTTGGCAAATGATCCATACTTATGACTGTTGCTGTTTCCCAAGGTCATGCAACCTTTTGACAACCAATAATCCACGGGGAAGCCAGATCCACTTAACAACCATGTTGCCACCTTATCAATTGTAGTGACTCACTTAACCACTGTGGCAAGAAAGGTTGTAAGATGAGGCAAAATTCACTTAACAAATATCTTATTTAACAACATAAATTTGGGGCTGAATTGTGGTCCAAAGTTGAAAACAGGAAATAGGATATAGGAAAATCAAAACCTGAAATAATTAATAATGAAAAGAAGGTAGAAAAGGACTTTTGTAAGCCATAGTTCTTTTTAAAAAAAAATATTGCTTGCCCAAGTTGCAAAAGGAAGGCTGTAACCTCTTGATCAGAAAGCCCAATTAACTATTCTGGTCAGTTTGACCACACATGGGTTACTGTTTTAACGTCAGTATGAGAATACATAAACACACGTGGTTATTGTATAGGAGTCCGGCAAATTTCCCTACTTTCTCTGTAATAGGCAGTGCACCAACTTGAGCCAAGGTAACACAAGAGGAATACACAACTTGTTACAAAGATACAAAGGGACGCAGTGGCTTAGTCGCTGCGCTTGTCGATCAGAAGGTCGACAGTTCGAATCCCTAGTGCCGTGTAACGGAGTGAGCTCCCATTACTTGTTCCAGCTTCTGCCAACCTAGCAGTTCAAAAGCACGGAAAAAATGCAAGTAGAAAAATAGGGACCACCTTTGATGGGAAGGTAACAGCGTTCCGTGCGCCTTTGGCATTTAGTCATGCCGGCCACATGACCATGGAGACTTCTTTGGAAAGCGCCGACTCTTTGGCTTTGAAACGGAGATGAGCACCGCCCCCTGGAGGCGGAAACGACTAGCATGCATGTACGGGGGAACCTCTCCCTTTATCTTTTTACAAAGATAACTAGATATCATCCATGAAAAGCTGAAATTACACCATAATAGAGGCGAGAACAATGCTGGGCTGTATGTATGATTAGATCTAGTGCTGTGCATTTTGGGTTCTTAGATTAGGATAGTAAAACCGTGGCTCAATCTGGAAAGCGTTGCATTGCAGACCTAAGTATCAAAGGAATGTTGGTTAGAACACAACTTTTGTAACAAGCAGTTTGCAACACAGTTTGATTTTCAAAAGGGAGGTATGAAGAAGGGTATTAATTAGGGATTAACTGAAAGAAGACAAAAAACTTTTATCCTACCAGACAGATCGCTGCTCTCGATTCTCCGCAGGTCAGAGTCCGCCCAGAATAACTTCCCCAAATGGCTATCAATGGCCAAGGCGACAGGTTTACTTAGCCCGCTGGAAAAGAGGACCTCCCGTTCAGTTCCGTCTAATGCTGCCCTTTCAATCTTAGGGGAAGATCTTTCTTGGAGATTGGTGAAATACATGTACCTGCAAAATGAAGGACAACCAAGTTATTTCACGCGTGGCCTTTCCACAGTGGCGCAGTGCTTAGAGTGCAGTACTGCAGGCTACTTCTGCTAACTGCCGGCTGCCTGCAATTTGGCAGTTCGAATCTCACCAGGCTCAAGGTTGACTCAGCCTTCCACCCTTCCGAGGTCGGTAAAATGAGGACCTGGATTGTTGGGGGCCATAGGCTGACTCTGCAAACCGCTTGGAGAGAACTGTAAAGCACTGTAAAGCGGTATATAAGTCTAAGTGCTATTGCTATTCTATTCCCCCACTAAATCAGCAGATTGGATATCGCTGAACTGCTTGTGGATGCAGGGAAGAGAACACTAACTAAAAACACACATAAGAGATGGTGGCAAACAGCTGGTTTTGAAATAATTAAATGTGGTGCACATTGGTTGGGAGGCTATAAGAAAATCTGAAGCTCAAGGTTGAATGAAGGTTCTGAAAAAAGACAATTGCACACAATTGCCAAAGGAGCTACTTGGAGTTACATGGAATTCAATGTTTTATTTAATTTAAACCTAATTTTTTTTAAAAACTCAAGAAAGTTTCCTTCCTATTTTCCAAAACTACGTTTTTTTGATAGTATCAGTGACTTAGGGTTCAAAGTTTGAAATGCAGATAATCTTTGATGTCAATTTTTTTAAAAAAAACAATTGTATTGTGTTCGAAAAAATTAACATAGCAGCTGCATGTTAAAAAGCAGTTAATATCTTAATCTGTTAATTATGACTGCATACATAATTTTAAGCTCTCATTAATGAAGTACAGTTCATTAACTAGAGCTTAAAACTCCACCAACTGTTCTGGATTTTCTTCCTCTTCCCTTTCTAGCAAGAAGAATATTTTAATTTCTAAAATATTCCGTGGTTTGCAAAAACGGGAGACTAAATAGTTCCTCAATGTTTTATTTCATCCTTCTGCTTTTATAAAGATTAGGAAGCTGCTTAATTTATAGAGGCTTCTCCTACTCATTTATTTTATCTGTATTACATACACTATTTACAAAATTGTGCTACATAATCCTTAATCCATAATTATAAATGAAGACATTTTTAAAATTCTTAGATGTTATAAAAACAATTTCACATTTCTGTACTAATTTATTATTACTATTTATATGCACTCTTTATTACAAATACTGCACCACTGACTTTAACTTGTTTATTCCATGTTTCCTTGGACTTTTTATTTTGTGCAATATAGTTTAAATCAAGTATTTTTCGACACTTAGCAAGATGGGTGGACGTCAACTCCCAGAATTCCTCAGCCAGCATGTTGAAAGAATGGAACCATTAAGCAACTTACTAAGGTAATAAAAATAACTCCCACTATTTTAAGTTTGACAAATTTGAAAAGGGATATAAAAAATGTAATATTTTGTTGTTCATTTTCCCTTCTTTCTCTCATGGCTTCCTAAACGCTGGTGCTATTTGAAATTTCTAGAAATCAAAAGCGGAAGTAACAAAAAAATAGTATCAATTCCTTGAGTTGTTCCTTGTTTTTCCTCATGTTTTATACATCCAAACTAAAATGTGCATAACCATGAAAGGCATACAGCAATATTTCATTTGTTTAGATCAGGGGTGTCCAAACTTGGAAACTTTAAGACTTGTGGACGTCAACTCCCAGAATTCCAGGCTGGCTGGGGAATTCTGGGAATTGAAGTCCACAAGTCTTAAAGTTCCCAAGTTTGGACACCCCTGGTTTAGATAATGCACATTTTAGAATGTGAGTGTTAGCGCCTCAGGATTTATATCATGATATTGATTTTCTTTAAAGCATTCGGACATAAAATGGTTGGCGTGGCACAACAGAAGTCAAGAGGTAAAAAGGATCTGGAGCTGGAATGCCTAAACATTTCCCAACCTGCAACCCACTTACCCCTTTTCTGGATTCACAACAATCGCTCTAGGCCGATCCTGATCGTTTTTCAACACCACGCCCATCAACCGTCCATCCAGGCGTGTGACATTGATGACGTTCGTGGCTTCACAAGTCCAGTAAATGTAACGGCTGTAAATATCGATACTCAGATCATACGGCTGGATATCTAGATTCTGGTTGGGGACGGGACTCGTCACAATGGTAGAACTCTGGAATGAAGGTGAAAGATACAGGGTGCTTCAAGGACTCCATCAGAAACAAACTGGAACTTGGCATTGAGCTAACTTTAGTGTGGGACAAACTATATAACTCTACCATTCTCTCAACCTGGTACCAGCCAAAATATTTTAGACAGTCCGACCAGCTAGTCTAAACAATGATCAGTGGTGGTGAAGGACAATAAAGTTTGTTACTGTTCGTTCTTCTTCATTGGACAAGAAATAATAAGGGTGATAGCAGAATAAATGGTGAAAAAGGAATCCAACTTTCCCCATTAAGCAAATATTGATAAACTCTAAAATTGACAGTATAAAAATGCTGTATGAGATACATACTTTTTATATTAAAAAAGAAAAAAATATATTGCTAGAAATGCGAACACTACACTAGACTGCTTTGATGTTTTTAATCACTGTTTTATAACCCACCTAAGGCTATGGAACGTAAGATTGATGGCCATATGTATAAATCTTTTAAATGATACGTAAATAAATCTCAAGAAAAGTTGAGCAATTTCTTGGAAATTCTTTTGGCTGCAAAAGAATAAAAACACCAATTCAAGTGTTGAGAAACAGTAGATGTGTTAATCCCACCTATAGATTTTCTTTTAGGTTTGTGTCATTTTTTTTTTTTTTATATCCTTCACAAGTGGAGGATTTGTAAATCTTGATCACCTTGATAAAACACCAAATACTCTAAAGATGGACACACTCAAAAGAACATACGTTTTAAAAGTCATGTTTAAATTTCAGGCCAAAATATGAGACAATACTGATATCAAAACTAAGCTATGTGGGTTAATTTTTCAGCTCCCAATATGTATTTCCTAAACCAAGAGGAGTTTTTTAAATCCCCTTTAGACAGTTACTAGGACAATACAGATATTCCTATGGTAGGCTTATGATAATGTCTGATCCCAAAATTTCTGCTGCTAAGCAGGACAATTGTGAAGTGAGTTTTGCCACATTTTATAACCTTTCTTGCCACACTGCAAGTTGTTAAGTTAGTAACAAGGCAGTTAAGTGAATCTGGCTTCCCCATTGACTTTGCTTGTCAGAAAGTCACAACAGGTGATCACGTGACTCAGGGACATTGCAAGCGTCACAAATCCATACCAGCTGCCAATTGTCCAGGTTTTGATCATGTGACCATGGGGATGCTGCTATGGTTTTAAGTGTGAAAAATGGTAGCTTTTTTCAGTGCTGTTGTAGTTTCAAATGGTCACTAAATCAATTATTGTCAAGGACTACCTCTAACACTGTAGGTGCACTAATATATGCCTAATCAGCTACCAAGACAATTTACCCAAAAGCCAATTTATACCATTTACAAGCTCCAAGGTTCCTTCAGTGCTAAAAGGGATATTAAAGGGTTGCACTCATTTTATGTTTCTACCATAACATCAAAAACTTGGGCTTGTTTTTTTCCACGACTACAACATAAGGAGATGTGTGGATAAAGGTTTTGAATTTAAAAGAAGTCAGTGTTGTTTTGAATTATATTCCAAAATCATTCAATTTGACGGTTTTGGGGAAATTTTGATTATATCGGGCACAGGAATAATCAATATTCAGTACTAATTAACATTCAATACTATTTTACACTGGAGAGCAAAGGCTAGATTTTAAAAATGTACAGCTTGTCTGTTTTGGAAAATACTTTTTCTACTAATACAAAAAATGGAAATATGAATAGTTTATTCCTGGTAAATATTGTGAAATTTTGATATAGATTTCTTAATATTTAACAGAAATAAATTATTATTATATGTGATTATGTGTGATTTGATGCAGTTATTAAATGAATAAGGGATATAGTTTGGTGATATATCAATGTACTACTTTTTCAAAGTTTTTTCCTCCTGATTTTCAGGGGGGGGTATTTTCATTTTGTTTGTTTTAGTGTTATAACTTAACAATTTGTTGGATGTATCTATATTATTTCTTTTGTTTTGTGCATGCACTTTCCTTTGTATTTCATTTTAAACATAGCAATAAATTAATTTTAAAAAATGTTCAATGCTGTTCCCAAAACAGAGTTTGTAAATTAACTTCAAAAGATATTTCCAGCCATGGTCAGTATTTCTGCCTACTGTTGTAATTTGTGAAAAATGGTCTGAAATCCCCTACATTTATGATAGGTGCAAACCTAGTAGAATAATTGTGGGAATTGGTTATGGCTAGTCTAGTGAAAAGAAGGACTAGGAGTCAGTAATGGCTTCCTCTTATCTTCGCTACTGGTTTGGAACAGGGAGTCTGCACGTGCATACACTCACTTCACTCGAATGTGGCGCTTCTGCTCATGTGCAGAGCGTCCGTGATAACATCTGGGTGGGTGGACAGAGCCTCCCGCTGCTGCCGCTACCAGTTCACCTGAACCGGGGCGAATCGGCAGAATACCACCTCTGCTAGGAGTGACATGATAGCAGTGTTCCAATATTTGAGGAGCTGCCGCAAAGAAGAGGGAGTCAACCTACTCTCCAAAGCACCAGAAGGCAAGGCAAGAAACAATGGATGGAAACTAATGATGGACAGAACCAACCTAGAATTATGGAAAAATTTCCCGATAGTTAGAACAATCAACCAGTGGAATGGCTTGTCTATAGAACTTCTGAGTGCTCCAACATTGGAGAAGAGATTGGTCAGTCGTTTGTCTGAAATGGTATAAAGTCTCCTGCTTGAACAGGGAGTTGGACTAGAAGACCCCCAAGGTCCCTTCCAACTCTGTTATTCTGTTAATTGTCTGGAAAAAGCATGTCTTATTCTTAACTCAGTTTATCTCTGGCCCTTGGAGTATCAAAAAAAATTTGAATGTGTCCATTCAGAGCTCATGGCTTAAAAATTCAGAAACTGGTCTGATCCTGTGTCTACTTTTCAAGAAGCTAAAGAACTATAAACATGTTGGACACATTTAAAACACATTTTGAACCTGTATTTGGTGAGGTATGATTGGCTTTATTCATATATCTTTAAAACATTCATGCCGTAAAATTAAGCTCTACCTAAACTCAATACTGAATTTGCCTCCTCTATCCAAAATTAAAATGTTCCTATTTTCAGCTGATTTCCATCTATTGGTTTAATAACCAGCAAATTCTACTGCACAAGCAACAGCATTTATAAAGAATTTCAAACATTAAATCCGGTAAGAAAAGAATTGTTTTGCCCCTTGTCTCTCTTCGAAAACTGAACAGCCCTCGTTTAGATACCTGACTGCCATCCTCTTGGGATCTTCTGATAATGTTTTGGCGAGAATCGATCCAGTAAAGCTGTTTCTCCAAGGGATCATAGTCGATTGCCCGAACATTTCTGAGGCTGTGTATCGGAAGGATGATCTCTGGACTCTTCAACCCATCGATCACCATACGATTGATTGCATTCTTCTGACTGAAGAGCAAGAAACTTGTAGGGGCTTAGGGAGAAATGCAGAAGGGAAAGTGTGAGTTAGGCTAATGATGTTAAGATCACAACTCCCAAAATATCCCCAAGTGCTCCACAGAATAAAGAGAGCAGCAATTAAAGGAGAGTCCTTCCTTTGTGGAAAAAAATTGAGCCTAAAGAGAGAGATTGGAGAAAAGAAGGTGCTATTCAAAGGGAAATTATTTAGGGGGTGGGTAGAGAAAATGTAACTCTATCTTTAAAAATAGATAATACCTTTTAGACACATGGATTAAAATGTCCAAATCTGGTTTGCAAATCTAGTTAATAATTGTTCCCAGGCAATATTGTTAAAAATTCTCTGGAAACAAATACTATGGGGGTAAGACATCCCTAGGGTGTGTGTTCTGTTAAGATACCGCCTGTTGTGCCTTAAAATGGCTTTTGTTGTACAGCGCAGGGGAGTTGCCATGGTAGCGGCTTCACAGTACTCCACAAGAGGGCTCCCTCTGGTAAGGGAGGAAATCCAATACGTTTGGTCTGGACATTTACCCTCTATGAATAAACACCCAGGCAACGTCGGGTTATCAGCTAGTTAAGAATAAAAAATAGCCTTGGTTCAATTCAACCATCTTCTCCGAGTACAAGCATAAGAAACACTGGCCCTAGTTTATGGCAAGTGTACCTTTAGGAATGCAAGTTAACACCACTGTCCATGTTTCTGGCTTACCACTACATGTTCGGTTGTCAGGGTTCAAGGAATAATGAGCAGGACATCCACAGACAAAGCCACCCACGGGCACTGCCAGGCAGAGGTGGGAGCAGTGCCCATTGCTGGAAGCACACTCATTCCAGCCAGCTTGCCGGGATGAATGGAAGACTAGGATGTCCATCACGTAATCCAGGTGGTTTTGGATGATGGTGCGATTCTGTCCGCTGGTTTTGTTGGCACGTTCGATGCTACGTCGGCTCCAGTCTGTCCAGTAGATGTAATCCTGGTACTGTGTCAGGCCAAAGGGATGCGGTAAATCATCGGCTATAACATCACGGTCAAGGCCTGGATTTGGGGATGGGATTGAAATGAAAGAAAGAAAGGTGGAAGGTCATTAGATGTATCTATCACCTCTGCAGGACATCACTAACACTCTGAGAAATGATCTACAAGTACTCCTTGACTTACAGCAGTTCATTTAGTGACTGTTCAAAGCAGTGGTGGGTTTCAAAAATTTTTAGAACCTCTTCTATAGGTGTGGCCTGCTTTGTGGGACTGGCTTGCCGGCCATGTGACTGGGTGGGAGGGGCTTGCTGGCCATGTGACTGGGTGGGAGTGGCTTGCCAGCCATG